ATGGAACGAGTTCGCATATTTTTCATACTGTTAAATATCACAAACTGTGCATGCATTTCGGATAATTTCGTTTTTAGAAATTCACATCTGTCTCCGATTGCATCAACAAAGAAAATATAATTCGCAACCCCGAGAGTAGTCACATAAATATTAATATAAAAGTGAGCAAAATAAGCAGCAAATTTTAACTGAAAGATATACAGGCAGAAACCGAGTTCCAGACACATAAGCAAGACGATGGCAATCTGGATAGCAAAATATTTCATTTTCAACTTAAGTCCTACTTTCAACACGTGTTGGTAATTGTCAAAGAGCTCTCGATTTATGTCGGTTAAGGTGTCCAACAAACGGGTATATTTAATTTTTTTAGAAAAATTTATTCGTGTGTTAAACGTTACTGTACAACTTATCGATAAGAATTCGATAATTGTACTCAATATTTCTATTGCATTAAATCCTCTGTGGTGATTTCCGTCGAAAGATCTAAGTATGCAAAAAATAATCCATAAGAATATGTTCAAACATACTAGCACGCACCATCGATACTTTTGCGAATTATTTGGTAATATAGAAAAAAATCGTGAGATTTTAGCCAGTGGTTTATACAAATAAAAATAATATCGAATTTTTTGCGACGCTTCATGCCATTTCATTGTTTGTATGTACACAGTAAAAGTATTTTATTAAACAGAATCCATTAACTTTGTAATGCAATAAACTGGGAAATGGTGTACTTTAATCATTAAAAATATTTTTAGACGATGAATAAATTCACTTCATTACTGGTTTTCTTTTTATTCTTGTAATATGAAAAAGGGGCTATCAAATAAATTTCTGTTATTAAGAAATAACGTTATTTTTTATTGATTTTACTTTCCGAATGTATGTATGTATATAGTTATGTATCGCCTGTTCACTTGAAAGTCATTTAGTTCTAATTGTGTCTACAATAAAGCTGAAATTTAATAAATGACAGCAGACAACGTGTAGCAATGCCAGTGTAATGACTTTTCAACTGAACATCCGGTACTATGTTTCCTTGACGTTTCGCAGTTAGGCAGATTACTGTGAAATTCTGGATCTACTTTAGGATTAACATTTATTTCAAATGTGCAAGATAATATGATTCTGAACGTGTGCTTTATTAATGTACCCTTATTTTAGCTTTACCGAAGTTTGAGTAAAATATTAAAAAATACAACAACATTCTATACTTTTATGTTAGAAACTACAAAACCGAATACTCTAAAATTTCAATATCTTTGTCTCCACTAAAAACTTACTAATCGTGTTTGCAACAGTCATAAATTATAATCTTACAATAACAATGTTTATTTTAATGAAAAATTATTATTAAAATGAATTTTGTCTGCAAAATACGATTCAGAATTGATTGTGCTTCAAGGCTTAAGGAAGTTCTTTCAATTTTTTTACTAACAGATGATCATTTTATCGACATATAAATTGATCAAACCAATCTTTTCTGTTTTTGTTGATATTTTTGGTGAAAGGCATCCACAAAAGGCTTCCATAACTTTAGCAGTGTGATAGTGATACTAATCTAAACATATACACAAAATTATAAAATCCGCCAAAATTTAAAATTTGGCCTTGAATTATGAACAACAAAATGGAAGCCTACATCGTTTTTTTCATGGCGGAATGCGTTCAAATGCGTTTGGTGAACTTCAAGGACGGAAAAGTGGATGGAAAATATGGAGGACAAATCGTTTATTCCTTCTTGCTGTGGAGTAAAAAGCTGTGAAATAAGCCGCAAATTTAACCAGCTTTCAAAAGCAAATTGTACCAATGAACACAAATATTTTAATTAAAGACATCAGGCAAAAGAGAAATTTTAATTAAAGAAACTGCATGGTGATACCAGAGAACATAGAGAAGCCCCATAGTTTAAATCAAATGACGGTTGAGGACTTCTGAATTTATGTTGGTAGCAGTGTTTGTTTCTAACTAGGAATAAAAGTAACTAGAAGAAATGTCATAATATTTTTAACGACGCGTTTTATTTTCGATAAATTGACACTAGATTTACCAGAATATTACAAGCTGCTTACTGTTTCCTTCACTTTCATTCAGGTCACACGAATTACAATTATAGTGAAGCAAGGTTTTTATTGGCATCGACTATTTAAATTTGGCGCTTGCCTTTGGCGGTTGAGGACTCCAATGTCAATAAGGGTGGTTTTGCAAAATCAGCCTCTATGTCGCTTCTCTATGTTCTCTGGTGATACTCAAGTTATTACAATCGTGTGGCGGTAAATTCAAATTATTAACACTTGGGGAAACACCACATGTGGTTTCTCACACTTCCTCGACAATTTTACTTGATTGACAGGTAAAATAGTTATACACACAAACACAAAATTTCTATACCCAAAAAACCTGCCGCATATTGTACCTTATACCCTGTCAGGTGTAAGATGTGTGTATTAATTTAACTGAGTATAATTTTCAAAGATATTTCTGTCAAAATAGATCAATGTGTAAGATTAGTTTAAGTGTCATAAATGAAGTCTATTTTAAATCCCGACTGAGGAGTTATGATCAATGCATTATATAATAACTTAGGTAAAATCATCCAAAAGTTTAAATACATCATTATTGAAATGAGTAAAGAATTCATAAGTGAGTTTACTGTCACGCGTTTTAAGTGAACACTCACATTATTATTGTAGGTAAGATTTAATTAGAACCGTACGTGTACGTGAATCGTCGAAATTTTACAACATTTCAGATTACAAAATCGTTAAAAAACAGATCTTACATTAATTACACCTACCCTTCGAACGTGACTTTTTTAGTTAAACAATTCCCCAATGGTGACATTGCAAATTACCTAAATTACGTACCCTATTTCAGCACGCGTTTGTATTTATACTACCCACACAAGATATAGGATCAAGTTTCTAAAATAGGTACCAACCGAAAAGGGAAAAGGGGAAAAGTTCTGCGAATCCCTTAACGTGCTATAGGTGATTGTTATTGGAATATTTTTTTTCTAACGGCGTGCGGAAAGTGATAGTTTTCCCCACTAGTGCGGGAAGTAAAATATAAGTAAATATCAAAGATTTATTGAGGTATTATTGACAAGTATTTTGCGAAAAACTTATTTGTGTTTATTAAACAACTGCGTTCGCAATACCTTGGCTACTCAACGGTCAGACGATACGATTTTTGTATGTGCTGCAATTCATAAATCTCATTATGAAAATTTTAATCGCTGAAAGACCTGAAAGAGGCCGTTAGAAAAAATATTGTTCCTAACGCGCGCAGTAAGTGTAATTCCCGCACTTGCTAAGAAAATTACTGTTATCTTTCAAATGCGGTTTCAGGGCCTTTTTTCCCTCGGCGCAAAATCACCACGTATATTCCTTATTTTCTTTAAGCTATCTTTTTTATTTTAACGACATTTTTACTAGATTATTTTAAGATGATATAAGAATCGTCTTTAAAAGGTTGCACCAAGTGGTTCTACTGAGAGTCTGACAGGCACATTAAATTGTCAAAACGGGTGCATAGTTTATATGATTTAGCTGACTCTTATTTCGGTAGATTTGTTAGCAAGCCTCAACTTCACAATTCCGATGGTATTCTAATAACAGAAAATGAAGTAGTTACAAATATTTTCGCTGACACGTTTGCAAATGATTACACTACAGAATATTAGCTGGTGCTACAGATTTAGCAACTCCTCATTGAGGTGAAGTGTTGATTTAATTCAGGTTGAGATCCGTGTGAAGCTTCAGGAGTTAAATAAAACTAAATATCGCGGACTTGAGATATCTGCTGCATTTTGAAAGAATGTGGGCAAATCCCTGATGACTTAGTAACATTATTCCTTCTGAACAGCACGGCCTTGCCCCCGCAGATCTCTATCTAGCAAAGTTTTTTGTAGGAATTAGACAAGGACAATCCCGTCGATGTTGTCTAATTCTTTCCATTTGTCTAAAGCTTTCAATAAATTTCCCACCCACCGCCTGAAACATCCCTTAGAAAATGAGAAGTCGCTTGATAAAGTGGATTCAAGAATTTCTGAAAAGCAGGACTTTTAAGGTTATCATTGATAGTTCCTTTAGTTTTCAACGGCAAGTCTTAAGTGAAGATCCACAACAATCCGTTCTGGATCTGAATTATTCATGGTCCAGTCATATTATTTGAGTGTAGAACTCGGGGGTTGGTGATGATAACGGTTTGGGTTTCACCAAAATCCTAGTGGGGGTTACGGCGTACCTCAGTGCCGCGCCTTGAAACAATTAGTGCTGCTTAAGGCACGCCTGGCCAGTGTTGGTGAAGAGGTCGCTTTAACGCCACGGGAACTGGCACTTCCTATGGGGACGCTTGCTCTGGAGACACTTGGAGTACTCTATCGGGGCAAAGGAATCTCTCGGTCTTATGAGTTGTCGCGACAGGCAGAAATAATACTCTGGTTAAATGAGGAAACTATCAAACTAAAAAAAAAACAAGACGGGGCTGCTTCGGATTCTGGGGACGAGGCGGCGTTGAAACGGTACGCAGAAATGGGCCGGTGTTTATACAAAAAAGGAACCGTGACTGTTATGACGGTACACTCTCTAGATGGTGAATTGTATGGTATAGGGCACACCTGAGTTCCAAACTCTTCTCGTTCTTGCAACAACATCTCTCACCTCGCTGGCCGACTTACTGGCTTTCTCTCCAACTTTTGCGTCAACACGGCGCGGTTATCAACCAATATCCCCTGCCCTTGGTACTCTTGTCGCGGCTTCTGGCCCACCACAATTTGATTTCGTGTCAAATCTAATTTTATAAATGCTGATATGAAAACTATATCGAAATGGGCGCATGAATGGTTTCTTCCTCTCAAAAAACATAAATCTATGTAAGGCCCTTGGTCAAGTATGGTAACGTTGTTGGCACCCTCTCCTAATAATAATATAAATAACAATTATAATATGATTCATTTATTTAAATGTACAAAACATCAACAAAATTAAACATTCAGATACTATTTTCTTTCTGTCAACGCTTTTTTTAATCAGCCCACTCTTCTCTTTTCAAAACTAAGTTCCATTACACAATAATATTAATAACGTAATAGTAACACAGCAAGCTAAGCCCCAATTATAGTTACTCAACCAATGCAAAAGAGAGACTTATTTTAAATCTGCGTAGCAAACAGCTATTTCATTGCTATTAATATTATTAACTGTATATTGATCGGTGTGGAAGGAGTAGATTAGACCAAACACTGGTTTTCAGAAATAGTAAATTATGGTTAATACCAGCAAAACTACACAATCTTTCAAAAGAAAAGATGGTATAACATCAGGACCAGCAATCATTTTTGGTTTTAGCCTCTTCAGAGACTTTCAACATCTGCTTCACTAAACTGGAACTCCGAAAGTGTATTAACATTGAGTCCCGACAAAATAGATTCACTTCTGAAATTGTAAACAAAATCTCTTACTAAAGTAGATCCCGTCCTTGACCAGACTGCATTAGTTTACATGATAAGTATGTGATATCTTTTTTACTCCTGTAGTTAAATGTCTATTTGTTATTTCCAATTAGTAATGGTATAAACATTTTGCTTGACCACCAATTAAATTAAAGTTTTAATTGCATACATTACCTACTACTGTACAAAAATTTTGGTTCCCTACATTTTTTAGTGACGTAAGTTTTGTACAGTTGCGACTGTTAACGAACAATTACATTATTTGTGTGGTTTTAATTTAATTAGTGTTTAAAATGTGCGTTCCGGTCAGTCACAACTGAAGAAAATAACTGCATCGAAAGTATAACAAAGGCAGAAATAAAACTAAGCATGGAAAATAAAACACTAAAATCGACGTTGTAAAAACCAGCGGCAGAAAAAGTTGCCATTCCATTAGTCGATATTGCAGCAAAAAGTATTAAATCTTCTTCGAAAATGCTTGTTTTGTGTTTATCACCACTGTTAACCGAACGTAGTGAGACCAACACTTTCCAAACAATAAATGATGTTTGCTTCATTGCATAAACAGCACTTGAACATGTTGCCGATATTATAAAACCAAAACACTGAAATAATTTGTTTTTATCTTTATTCAAACTTATTTTTTATTTACCTACCACAAACACAGTACTACCCCACAGATTTGTAACTGTCAGAGGAATACGAGACCTATTGTCATGAGCAAAATTCAATAAAAAATTCAAAATAATATTAAGAGTTCTGCATATAAATACCATTATAATGGCAAAAGTAAGAAGAATTTGAACCCCAAAAATTTCGTTAATTAATCCGACTGCGTCCTGTATACGTTTGTAATTTCTCGAAAAAAATTTTATATCGATATTTTGTATCAAAATCGGACGTAGAGTGTTAGATGTTACTTTCTGATAAGTTATTAACTGCACAGATAATTCTGATAATTTGTCGTTTAAAGCGACACAGTCTTGCTGAAGAATTGTGATTATAAAGTCGTACTGTAAAATTACTAGAACGACTGTATAAACGTTGAAGTACGCGGGAATGTATTTAATAAAAAAATGAAAGCCGGAGGTCCACAGACTGACAACAACTTCGCAACCTATGAACGATAAGATCAACAGTTGCATACAAGCTAATTTCATTTTTAATTTGTAACGCGTCTTGAATTTATATCGATGAACTTCTCTGTTAATCACTGTCAAAATTTCAAACAAGCGTTGAATTTTGCGTTTTTGGGCATTCCAGCGTATAATTGACAATATAATACAAAATGGTGCCACAGAGTTTATTATTAGGTCGAAAAGCTGCACTGTATCCATACGACGAATATTTTCAGTTCTGGTTCTCAAACACCAAATTGCTAGCAGAAGAAATAGCAAAAGAGTGCTATAAAAGCGATATTTGCCTGATTTATGAGGAAATATTCGAAAAAATGGTGAGAATTTTTCAGGCCTTTTGTTAAATTTGAAATACTGGATTTGACTGTGAACGTTATGCATTTTATTGGTTAGATTTACGAAAACTGACTATAGATATAAAGTTTATAGACAGACAAATTCCATTTACTAGAATGACGCAAGCTGGTAATTTGGTTTAATCTATTTTTTCACATTTATTATTCAGTTTGTTTATTTAATGTATTTTGTGAAATAATGCTATCAAAACATTGACCCAAATAGAAATCGATTAACAGTTTAAAAGAGTTATTGTGATACTCTTGTTAAAAAAAACAGCTGCTGGGTGTTGCCTATCAGAAGTAAATTAAAAATAATATATATATCGCTAGCGCTACTGTGTATACTTTTTATTATTTGATGCATTAAATTCTAAACTAAATTAAAAAAAAGTAAGTGCTGATATTATTATTACTTAATTGAAAACATTAAATCTTAGTGACTTTCAAATAAGGACCTGTTTTGGTAAATATAAATAATGCAGCTGTATCTAACTCAAGTGGAACAGCTGTTGCTTCTGTTCTTTCAAACGCAAAGTCCTTCAAAACGTAAGCTAAAGCTATTTTGTGCGCCAAAACTCCAAACCTTTGACCTAAAATTTGTAAATTCTACTAAAACACTTATTTTAAATCCAAACACCTACCAATGCAATTTCTTGGGCCATCTCCAAAAGGCAGGTAAGTGTAGGGTATTATTTTCTGTTTGTTTTCTTCACTAAATCGTTCAGGGTCAAATTTTTCCGGATCGGGAAAATACTCCGGATCGTAATGCAGTCCAGCAACTGGAATCAATAAAGAAACGTTCTTGTCCAAAGTGAATCCTGTTTCTTCAAAAGTGTACTCGGTAGCAGACTCTCTATTCAAGAAAGTAATTGTAGGGTACTTTCTCAATGTTTCTGAAAATAATTGATGACAAAGGTGGATCTAATTGGAATTAACAAGGAGATCTACTTACCATTAAAAACCATGTCTATATACGTCATTTCTTGGATTGCTTCGTAAGTAAAATCACCATGTTTTTCAAAAGTTTCTCGTATTTCTTCCCTTAGTCGATCTTGTATTTCTTTGTTTAGAGCTAACTCGTACAAAGTAAAGGTAATTGTCAGAGATGTTGTATCATTACCGGCTGTGAAAAATAATATAGCTTGTGCAGCCATTTTAATTTCATCTAAAAGTAAGATTATCTTAATCTCCAACAATATTAACTCGGATTAAGTACTAACCAAACTGATAGCTGTCGTCAAAAGTTTCGTTTTTCTTTAAATTGTTCAACAAATCTATAAGATCATGCCTCAAGATTTTTTTCTTCTCACGTTCTTTAATCGTAGTGTTGAACATATTCACCAAATAGTCAGAAGAGGTCTTATCAAGAAACGTAAGCCTGAAAATATCAACCAACTTGTGTGCGAAAAAGTAACTAAAGACCGAGATGCTCCTGACGAAAGAATTGAAGTCGACTAACTTTGTAGCAACTTCTAATATTTTCGAATTTTCTTCTTTAAGACAATATGCGTTGATTCCAAAAGCACACGAAGAGATGATATCCACAGCGTATTTTTTTGACATATTTCTAACGTCGATTTCTTCGTTATTGTGTTTTTCTAGATATACCACCAAATCAGATGCACACTCCTTCATTAAAGGTAACATCATTTTCATTTTGCCGGAACTGAAAACCGGAGAAATTTTCGCCCGTAGATTTCTCCATATTTGATCTCGAGCACTGAAAAGATTGTGGGTTGCCACTGGATCAACGGCTTCATTGGAGGCAATTTTGCGATTTAAAAATTTATCGAAATCTTTCACTAAAATTCGCTTCAATAAGTCTGGACTTCTGACAAGCAGTGTTGGTTGATTGAGGATGTATATACCAACATAGGGTGTTTTGAAGTTGTTGTAGATGTCACGTATTCGGTGGAAAATGTGTTGTTTTCGGGCCACTATACTGTAGAAGTTGCCAAAAATGAAAAATGGTTTCTCGAATGGCACTCCACGTGATTCCCAGTAGTTGTAGTTTTTCGTGAAGAGGTAATATAATAGCAATAGAAAAGAAATCAAGTAGATTAGGAACATCTGAAATAAAGTTTATAATTGTAGTTTTCGTTACAGTACGCTTACTATTGTAGTATATATATTTAGTATAGTGCCTATCTATAAATTTCTTTAAATAAGTAAGTAAATATTATAAAACGTTTTAACCAATAATTTTTTAATGTTATCTGTATTTAATCGCCACTGGGTCATCACTTGTTTTGTTATACATACGTTCCACAGGCTAACAAATTAAATAGTATTACGTCATTCCGTTGCAGAATAATATTGTTTAAGCCTTGAAAATAAATTCTTAGCAGGTTTGATTATTCAGTCGTATTTTGTTAATAACGAAAATTATTGTAATATAATAAGACTTTTTGTTTTTGAATATGGTTACAATGTAGCATTCCATTTACAATATTAATAGACTTATTAAAACTTACTTTGTTCCGCCGCCTATTACAATTTTACACACGCGTACACAATTTCACGGTTGCTATTTAACAAATGTTGCTGAAGGAGAGGGAACCAGTAATCAGATTATTATTTCATGCTACCTATTAGTTGTTTTATTAGAACAATTTTTACAGGACCACCTTACCTTGGAATTATTTTTCAGAGCAAGTGGCATACAAAAGCATCAGTAAAAATTTATTTCTTACGTCGTAGTTCCTAAAGAAAAAGATAATAATCGTTATTTGCACTTGACTACCGAGAAGAAAAATTCTAAGAAAACACTTTTTTCAAAAGGCATCAAAGTTTTTTTCCTACTTCCATCATAGTAATACTAAATTTATTTCATGTTTGTGAATGAATATTTACAATTGATATAATCAGTTTTGGGAATGCTGATAGAAGTATATTTGGTTGCATACTTTCATTGTTTAAGAAAATATACCAAGATTAAATGGGCAACTTGAGTGGATTATTTGGTTTTAATTTGGTTTGTGGTAGTCGTAGAAAAACTATAGCACACAAGTCGAATTAGAAAACAATTACACACTCATTGAATTACACACCCATTCGTAATATGTAGGCTTCGGATCTTAGGTTTTTGCCTTTTATATCTACGCATTGCAGCGAAATTTATATATTTATCCGAATTTAAAAAATTCTGTTTATTTAACGCCCATTTATTACTACCTAAAATGCCTAATTTACCGTTAGAGACCTAAAGTATTAATTGAACGACCTAATTGTAAATTTTAAAAGGGTTAAAATAGGCTTCCACGACCAACGAAGCGGACGTGCTTGCACAATAGAGATTTTCCGTGAATTCATTGCTTTGGCTGGCAGATTATTTAAGAATGGGTTGTAAACAACGCCCTTGAGTTTAATGGTACGGGTTGGTGTCGCCAACTGACAACGCTGGCCTGCATTTCATTTAGATTATAGCCGGAAGGAGGTGAATCTCTGAAAAAGCATTTTATTTTAAAAGTTTAGTGTTAGGGATAGTGAGTGTCTTTGCGTGTTAGTGAGTGTGCTGGGGCCGGTTTTGATTTTTGTGCATGCAGTAAAAAATCCTCAAAATGCCTCAGGTAAAATCATCCATGAAAGATAAAATCAAATTATGGTTAGGGAATAATTTGGACACTAATTTTCAATTTCCTTCTTCAACCAAAGACAACGAGTTATTCTGCAAAGTGTTTGGAAAAGTTGTAAGTAAACATTTAAAATACTGAAGCTTGAACTATGTTCACATTTTGCTTTCCTAGTTTAAGTGCGAAAAAAAATCACACTTTGAACAACACTGCAGTGGCGATGCACATAAAAAGAACAAGAATAAATCCAGTAAACGAACTTTATTAAACATTAGTTCCGACAATGATTTTACGCAATTTTGCACGGATTTATGTAGGGCATTTACCGCAGCAAATATTCCATGGAATAAAGTGAGTTGTCCTGAGTTTAAAAATTTTATGCATACATATACAGGAAGGCATTTACCCTCAGAAATCACTGTGAGAAAAAATTATTTACGAAAAGATTACGATATGTTGAGCACTAGAATTTTTATTTAAAAACTTTTTAACACAAATTTTATAATTTGCAGGTAATCAAACAAATTAGAAATTCTATTGGCAACAATGATATCCAGATTAGAAAGATGCATAGCCCATTTAGTAATTGGAAAGTTATCTTCTGAAGAAGCTGGCCGTCCATTTCTACTAGCTTTGAAGCAGCTTGATAAAACTAATAGCAACACAATCTCGAGATTTATAAACGAATTATTGGGTGTGCTATTGGTAATTTTAAGCACTGAAATTATTATAATTTATTTAATTGTTAATTTGTAGCTTTATTGTGGCCAAAAGGAACTGAACTCAAACAATTTAAATGGTTTGTATCAGATGGTGCTTCATACATGATCAAAACTGGTACTAATTTGAAGGTGTTTTATGAAAATATAACACACTTAACATGTATGACACATGGGTTACATTTAGTGCCTGAAACAATTAGAGTGAATTATCCAGATGTCAATGGGATAATTAGCAATGTTAAGAAAATCTTTTTAAAAGCACCAATAAGAATAGAGTTTTATAAAAACAGTTTACCAAATACACCTCTCCCACCTGAGCCTGTATTAACCAGGTGGAGCACTTGGATTCAAGCAGCATTGTTTTAATGCAGAACACTTTGATGTTTTAAAACAAGTTAGTAAATATATAATGGTTTTTTTACTATCATTCTTATATCGAATATTTTTAGGTTGTAATGTCATTTGAAGCCACAGATGCACAAAGCATTAAAAAAGCCCAAGAAATCCTGAATAAAGCAAACGTTAAAGATGAACTCTTGTACATTAAAACTCACTTTAAAATAATTTAAAATTAGAAACTATAGGTTTAAAATTAAACCAAAGTATAGAAATAGTGGAAAAAGTGTATACATCTTTAAAAAACACACCAGGAAAGGTGGAGGAAATGGCGTTCCAAAAATTATGTTCTCTATTAAAAAAGAATCCAGGATACGATTTTATATGTTCAGTAAATAACGTAATTTGCGGTAATGGAAATGCTACCAACAATACATACATAAATGAAAACGTAAATTGTTCATTATCTAATTTTGCACCCATCATTTCTTGTGATCTGGAACGCACGTTTTCAGAACTTAAAAGTGTTTTAAGCGATCAAAGGTGTAAATTTACAATCTAAAATTTAGAGAAATATATAGTTTGCTTTTCTAACTCATTTTAAATACCTGAATTAATATTTTCTTTTTTGTTAAATGCGACTTGCTTTAATTTGATCGCCATTTTTTTGCGATAACTTAGAATTAGTGGACGTAACTATAGATCGTTTGTTTATGTAATCATATTTTTGTTTGTTATACAAAATATTTGTTTCTATAATGTTTTGTTTAATGTTTTTTTTTTAAATAGGTATACATTTTTTTGATGTATGCTTTTTCGTTGAGCAAATATTTTTTCCTCCAGGTTTTTAACCTTTATAACATAATTCGTCAATTTTGGGACCTAAAAATGTCTCCTTTTATTCATTTTTTAATGACCTAAAATCCGAAGCCTAGTAATATGCTTTTTGCAATTGCACAAGAGTAATATATTCCAGTGGCGGCTCCTCGGGGTGGGCAGGGTGGGCAATGCCCACCCTATTTGATTGTTTATGATACGAAGTAAAATATTGATTTTTTTTCTTTTTTAAAATATTTTATATGTACATATACACAAATAATTATCGTCGTAAGCATCATTTAAGCCAACGGATTTTCTTCATTACATCCCGCAGTTTCCGCAACTGAGAAATTGCAGTTGTAAAAAAGTGCGTCAGATCTCGGCGTTATACGGTTCATGTGAGGATGGGCTAGTCCACCCTGGTCCACCCTCTTGATTGTAAGCAACGACATACGTTCGGTTTTCTATGTACGTAATTGAGAGTAAAGAATTCGAAACGCGCGTCTTTGCGTATCCGTGTTTTCTTGCTGCAAGCGGGGCAGGACGCCCTGCCTTCAACGTATATCTCAAACGCTGCAGAATCGGATCTCTCAATATTCGATTCAAGGATTCAATACATTAATTTCGATTTTTTTACTTCTTCTGTATTGTAAAAGTATAGAGGTAATTATTTTTATTACTCTATTGAAATATGGGTAAGGTACTTAGTAAGGAAAATAATGTTATGCGAAAATTCTTGAATACTATTGTTATAGAAAAGAGCAACACCATAATAATTAATAAATACTTTTTCATATCAAATGAAAATTTGTAATAACCATATTCTTGTATTACTACCGTGTAAACTTTATAATGAATTATAAATTTAAAAATCCGAATAACTAATGATGAGAATAAGTAATACATTTATTATTACAGTACGTATCTGACATGTGTATTTTTTTATTATTACATATGTATTTTTGTTTCATAAATTTAGCTGTAGCAGAGTCAACAAAAGTTAAATATACGCTTAATTTATTATTTAATTCAGACTGTCCGCACAGGTTTGTTAGGCGTTCGCTCTAGGATGGGTGGGCAAATCCACCCTGAAAATCGGAAGCACTCGGCATGGTTCGTCCTCGTCGGAGACACGACTCAATTGAATTCAGTCAGATCAGAAACTGCATTGTGGATGGATAGTGCATTTAATTATAAAATGTAGCTTATTCAAATTACCAAATAGTTAGGCGGGTACCAAAGTAGGTACTTTCTAGCAATTTTTTTTAATGGCAAATCCTACTGTAAGCTGTGCAAATAATATTAGAGAGGTGGTAAAGAAGGCATTAAAGACATTGAGTTTTTGTTTTTAATAAATAAATTCAGTAGTATGGAACTTGATATTTATGAATTATTTGTTTATAAATTAAGATCATGTCCCGAAATGAAACAATTGGTCATCACAAACTCTCGTGGCAGTAATAAAGGCTTTAATCAAAGTTCGGACAATAAATATTAGGTACCTATTAGTTGGTTGATCGGTAGTGAAACAACCAACAAAACTGTTGGAATTATCTGCTATTTAACTTAAAATTAAATTACGAATACTTTAGAATTCCACAAGAAGAGCGATATAAAATATATCGCTACTGCTTTACAAAAACATGACCAATCTGAATAAACGAAAATTACTTGGAAAACGAAGTGAAACTATAGAAAATTCTCTTAAATTCGGCGTTTATTCGATATGATAATTTTCTTGGCTACACAAAAACATACATTTCGGGAACAAGATGAATCGCAAATTTCTCTTAAAGTAAGTTCGATGATAAATTTAAAAAGTTTTTTGGAGGAGTCTTTGGTGGTCTTCAGAACGATTATTTTAGAATTATTTTTATTTTATTTGTTACTGTTAACTTTGTTAGTATTTTGAAAATTTATGTTTTGTTTGTTTGGCATTTATAATTTTGCTTTTACAATAATTTTCCAAATTGCTGCTTTTCTAAGTGTAGCTTATCTCAAAGGTTTAAAATTTAATGTTTTCTCGTCATGTTATTTCAAAATTTGTACATGTTGCGATCATTATTTGAGTTTATAGTTCTATAAACTCCTAACAAATCTATTTATGTGCTGAACCTTTTT